GGTTTGTTTACCCGAAAAGCGTTACGGCTGATAACCACTCAAAGGAGAGGGAAACACAGTTTTGTCAACAACGGGGGAACCCGGGACCTTAAAAGGAACGAACCCCTCCGTGACTGCGACCTCTCCCTTAACCTTGTGGGTAGCGCGAGCAACGCGCTCTTTTCAGCACTTGAGCCAAATGACATGCGGACATGTCATCTGGGCTACCAAAGAGACCAAAAGAACGGGGCCCTGTTGCCCGCTCTTTAACCCCAAAAACCAAGAGGTGGGCCCAGAGTCAACAAGCAGGTTACGATTCCAGGAAAAACCACACTGCCCAAGAAACGGGCAAAGGAACTCTGCCACAAGTTGACTGGAGACAAAGGGAACGAGATGTTGGCGACTCCTGAAGCTTGAGAGAGAACGCGTGATCGCTCCCGTGAAACGCGTTCCTCTCGTCTTCCTCAAGAGATGCCCCACATCAGGTTGCAGCTGGGATCTCTGAAGCTAACCAGCAGGTAGTTTTGTTCCAACTCATCTCGCCTTCGAAAAACACGGATCCGGATGCATTATACACCGCAACATTGCAACTTGTAAATGGTGGTTTCCAACTTGATTTTGGTGTTGAAAAAGCAACATGTTTCAAATGATTGCAAAATGTATCATTTAAGGAGCCCTGAAACATCTAGCCAGCTTCACCACGCCGAACCGCCGAACCGCCGGGCGGCTGTTGAGCCAAGCTCTGCTTCTCCTCCCAAGTCCCGTTGTGAAGAGGCCCGATGTCCAGGATGGAGATCGGCGCCTGAGCCGAGAGAGCCTTTCTGGGGCTTTCTTCGGACCAATGTCCGGCAGAGCGAAGAGCCTTTCTAGGTCTCCTTCCGTCCATGTGGTCGTCTTGCTTTGAGCCCCTGTCTGCTTTCCTGTGGGTGTTGTGTGAAGGCAAAGCAGCGAATACAACAAAACACCTTCATCCCATGTTGAGGGGGTTCCGTATTCTAGGTCCTCCAGTAGAAAGCTTAGAATAAGGGTACCAACTTTTTTCTATTCTGTCTATTTTAGTAGGGGAACCCTCCCAACCAACAAAGAAACGGGTGAGTCAAAGGGCACCAATTGCTGTGGGACCTAGGTATTCCACCAGACCTACCAAGGCTCCCTCCCTGGCCTGGAGAGCTTGCTCCAGGCTCTTCACATCTGTGGGTTCCCCCAGCTTGGTCTGGCTGCCGGAGCGCGTGTAGAGCCCTGCGCGCTGAAGTCGGCCCAGCAATCAAGATGGAACTTTCATGAGGGCTTCTGGTGGGTTTCATGTCAGCGGGTAGAGGAAACTACCTCTAAATCTGCCCAAACTGTCTAAAGCAGGAGCCAAATCTTCATGTCCCCCGCCGAGGTCTCCAAATGTTTGTAAAGTGACCTCCTTTCAGCCATTTTGAGTCCAGTTGGGTGTGGTTCAAATTTTAAAGGCTAGGGTTAGGGGTTAGGCAGGCTTCTTCAGCCGACGAGAAGCCGAATTGATCAGCCTTCTGCTTCTTCATTTCGCTGGGACATTATGCACCCATGGGCTCAAGGCACTTCCACGGACCTCCCCAGACTCAACGAATGGCCAAAAAGCCAGGCGCTCAGACAGCCAAAGCAGTGCCAACTTACGTCCACACCCTGCTTTCGCCCGGGCACACATGAGCCTTGCTGACCGACCCCAAGCGAATTGTTGAGGGTTTAGGTTTTGGTTTAGGCCTAAGACCGCCCCCAGGCCAACTGTTTTGGGTTTAGGTTTTGGTTTAGGCTTAAGCCAGGCCAACTGTTTTAAGTTTAGGTTTGTGTTTAGGGTTGAGACCCGCCCCCAAGTCCAGTGGATGTATGATGACTCTTAGATCAGCCACAAAGCTGGAAACATCACATGCGCGGGGGTTCCCGCGGTCGGCAAATGCCCAGCAGTTGCTTTGTGTTGCTTCCTATTGCAGTGACCCTTGGCCCCTAGACACCTCGACGGGCCACCTGGGCCATGTTCTAAGTGGTTTCCATTGATTGACAGTGTTTGTGTTAGACCGCCATGCGTAAAAACATGCTGCTTGCCTGGGACGAAGCATCAAGCAGCTCAAACAAGCCAAATGATTCGTTCACCTCGAGAGCAACCACGTCGGCCAAGCGCGAAATGGTCCTCCAAAGGTTGGCTTCGATTCGATTCGATGCCTTGTGCCATGCGCATCAGGTCTTGCTTCCTGGGCAAAGCCACGCGGATTCACGTGTCCGCAATGGATGAAAGGTTGGGTATGAGTCAAACTCTGGGGTCCCCAAAACACGTGGTTTTCCCGTTTGGCTTGCCTTCCCAAAACCTGATGAAACCAAAAGAAACACACCTCCCTCGAAACGTCCTCCGGGGATTTTTGACCAGGTCCCAGGTTCTAAGCCACTGGGCCATTTCCAGCCCCCGTCCCAAAGATAGAAAGTTCGCCGTTCACCAAAGGAAAGCCTATCAAAGCTGCTGTTCACCAAAGGAAACCAACAGTGTTTGAAGATAGAAAGCCAAAGGAAACCCCTCACCGATTGTCTACCCTTTCGTGCTCAACCCTGCCATTCGCCCAGAATCAAATACCTGGATGTTCGCATGAGCCACAGTCAATCGTGTTCAGCCACTTCGGGCACAAACCCAAAGGCGGTATACCCAGCCGACAAAGAGTGCCAAGTGTCGTCTTGTTGTAGATCGGCAGCTTGCTGGCCCAGTTCATCATCTCTCCCACCCACGTTTTGTCGTAGAGCGGCTTCGACCTCCGGCGGATCATGAGCTGGGCCAGGCTTCTGTGATAAAGATTGCGAAAGCGAGAACTCCAAAAAGAAAGCGAGCCTTTCCTCAACCATTTGTCTGGCCATTTTCGCAAACTTTGGAACGTAAAGTCGCGTCAAACCGCCTGTGTCTCCTATCACAAAGGATCTTTCTTGGGCGAGACAACAACAGAAGCCCAGCAGCATTGCAAGGCAACCCCTTCTGGTAGGACACACCAAAAAATACTCACAAGGAAAGCATCTTCTTTGGGCATAAACAGGGAACATGAGGTTGCCTTAGGGTAACCCAGGCAAACTGCCCTTTTCTTCTGCGCTTTCAAGCACCCCCAACCATAGGAACCCTAAAATATGGTCCGTCCAAGCTCAGCCTCAAACCGAACCAAGGCGCCCATCCCGCTTGCAGTGCTCGCACTCCACTACGGCGTCATAGTCCGGAAGCACGTAGGCCTGCCGACTGCGTCTCAAGTTCGACCACACGTCATCCATTTGGCTGTGGCTCTAAATTAAATAGCTGGAAATACGCGGGTTTTAGTATTTGGCTCCATTTACCAAGGTGTCATTATTGGTACCACTTTTTGGAGCCACAGCCATTAACATATCCCGCAAACATTTGTAAACCATTAAAAAATCGTCATAAACCGGTACCAAAATGGAACCCTGGTAAGTGGAAACATGAACCAACACCTGCGGAACCTCTCCTATTTAATTTTAAGCCACACCCAAATAGCTGGGGCAAACCGTTCTATTTAGTCTTTGGCTCCAGAGACACCAAGGCGCCATTTTGGTACCACTGTTTTGAGCCACAGCCACTAAGATGTCCCGAAGTTGGGCAGCCACAAAAGGAGTATCTTCAATTCAGCGACCAGAAATCTGCCAAGTTCACCCTGCCGCAATTCTTGCCATGCTTTGTGGCCAAAGCTTGGGTTCCACACATTGGCACCATATGCCACGGGCTCAGCCCTGAGATCTCTCGCAGAGCTGTTGGAAAGGGCCCTTTTGCACTTGCATGTGAGTTGGTGGAAGGGTAGGAGTTGATTTTTCCAAAGATTTCCAGGGCACCAACCCGAGGAAGTAATACACTACTCCCATACCCCCGGTCAAGATCTCGCCCGCACCCCGAAACCCGGCCATCAGGGAAATGCGATCTGCGTCCGCATGGCCGGGCACGGGGTTCTGCACGCGGTGCACCACGTGCTTCAGACCTCAGCTTCGTCGATTTGTGGCGGCCCGTTTGACGCAGTGGCCCCACCAACCGTTGAACACAGGGACCTCTCACTTTTGTGGCTCTGGGTGAACATGAGGAAAAACCGACCGGCTGCTGCTACTGCTACTGCTACTGCTACTGCCACTGCTACTGCTGCTGCTGCTACTACTACTACTCCTCTCCACACACAAAAACACCAACCTTGTATACCCACATGTTCTGTGAACATGTACGGGTACTCATATTCTCAAGGGTACACCCTCACTTCCATACATTTCCTCGCGGGTAGGGTTCTGCACCTCTCCCCGTGTTTGGCCAAGCTTCGGCCGTTGGACCAGCGGCTCATCATCCTTGGCCGAGAGAAGTCGCGAGAAACCAAAGGCCCAAAGGATCTGGCACCTCGACGAAAATGGAAGTGGATAACCAACAGAGCGGAAAGCGCATGAGTTGGTCCGGATCAATCTGAAGTATGGGCAACACCCAAAAACACGTTGTAAGGATTTAAGAAGAAAACAAAGTTTGCTGGAAGGAAGAAACCAACCACTTGCAGGGCTCGTATTCCCGTTCCTAGAAACACTACGGAGACGCATGGGTGTGTTTGTTTCAGGGTGTCCTTTCCGGGGTGGTTGACAAAACAAGTCAGACAATAAAAACAACCCCGATTCCCCTCATTTCGGAGACACACCCAATATGAACAACAGCAACACCAACTAGGTCCTCCAGTAGAGAGGTTAGAATAATGGTACCCTTTTTTCTGTATAGTCCATTTTAGTAGCGGAACCCTCCCCCAAAAAAGTCGATTTAAGCGCACCTAGCTGGGGGACCTCGCCAACCAAGACAACTGGATGAAGAACATCTCTCCGCCTGTGCCTAGATAGAAGGCTGAAACTGCTAGACAGGAGTCCTGGGCTTGGGAAAAAAGATGCTTCATGCCTTCTGTCTCAAAGTGATGCGACCTCTGCCCTTCACTGGAGAGGGCGTATGTCTTTGAGTGACTCAACCTGACAGTGGGGTTCCTCCACCCCTTTCAATTTGGGAAGCAGCAAGAGATCTACACTGTTCGGGGGTCCAACCTTCTACACCTTCTACACTGTTGGACAAATAATTTGTCCAGAGTAAAACAACAAGAACTGCACCTGACCGACCCCGCCCCCCCATATTTGAAGGGAAACCCAAAAGAAACTGTTTTGGGGGATCTCAATGGGCTGTCTCAAATAGGGGACCCGCAAAATTGGTAGCTGTCCACCTCTTTCCCCCGAAAAATGCTCCAAGTTGCTTGAAAAACCTCAATTTGCTTGTTCATTTGGAGTTGGGACCCTCAAGTCGGTGTCTCAAAACGGACAAACAACCCCCACACCTCGCTCCCGAGCACCGATGTCGCCGCGGCGCTCGCCGCAGTTCACCACGAAGCCACCGGCCGGGCGCACCACGCTCTGCCACTCCGTGGCGCGGCCCTCGGGTTTTCGGTTTTCCGCTTCGACTCGCCGAAACGCGTCCAAAGCGGTAGGCCGTACGGCCCGGTTGTTTTTTTTGGGGGCGCGTGTGCCCTGTTTTTCAGATCCAAGTACCTAAGGATGGCTTTTGGGGGGGGGGAGAAATGGGGGTTTTAAGGCGTTTGATCACAATGGGGGTTGCTTTAAAAGGACCGCAGGACACCGCCACCTGTGTGGTCCCCTATTTTGACGCATACCCTTTTGGAAGGTCTTGAACAGGACAGCAACCAGCAAGCCTTGCATTTTTTCGGGGGTGTCCTCAAATTGGGGACCATGTTGTTGGGTCCAGCAAAACCAAAGGAAACCAGCCGGGTGTGTCCATCTCCAAGTGGTTACATGGAGGCAGATCTGACACTCTCCCTTGGTCACTCAGAAACACCGGCATCCAAAGCGTCGCCTCCACTTCTGCACGGCCATCCACGCCCTCGCCAGTCTCCTGACGTCCAGCGCCGACGCGCAGGATAAACGGGGAGGTGATGAGTCACTGGAGACCAAGGGAAATAAGCATAACATTTGAACGCTTTCATTCGGAGCGTGATGGGAGGTGACTATTTTGGGATCAACCAGTCTGCCTTACGATTTCGGCGAAAAACTCTGCAACCCTAACCTCATGTTGTTGTCGTTGTTGTGGGGAACCAAAGACAAACCGCTCTCCGCGCCACACCAACCTGCAATACGGGTTTTGCCCCCCCCAAAACAGAACCATCATAAGGCTTCACGGTCGCAAACCAAAACTCTTTGTGAAACAGCCATCTGCCCAAGCGCACTTTGCACACAGTCTCACATGTCAGCCTGTACCACCAGCCCAACAAAAGCTCAACTCACGTCTGGCTCTCCCTGCAACACCAAGTGCAGAAAGCACAGGGAGAATGTACAGAAACAAAGTGGAGCTTGGTGATTGAAGTCACCGTTGAGCCCGTGACATCTCTCAGTCACAAGCCATGAAAGCATGAGATTCATCAGGGCTGCGTTGCTGGAAGCTCCTGCAAACTTCGAGGATCAACTTGCGCGGTCATTTTCCGCGGCCTCGAAGGATGTTTGAGACATCCACCACGCTTCACCACACCCTGAGGCATGTTCTCTGCTGCAAAATCGGTGGTTCAGCTTAGGGACCCTATGGACCCTCACAAAGCCTTGTGGCGGTTCAGGTTGCTGGCTTCCCTTCCGAATTGATTGAGAAGGGTGGCGATCCGCAAACAGAAGAAGCCGAAACCGGCCTTAGCTCAATCGAACAGGCAGCCCAAAAGCTCGGCAGCTCGAATATCACACGGAATCGACCGAGCTCAAGCCAAAAAGTTGGTATTTTCCTGGCTGGGTTCAGGAAGTGCTGACATGACAACCCCAATGGATCTCCCCAAGAGGCCCGACATCCCGATAGATTCCTGTTTGGAAATATCTTTGGGTCACTAGTTCGCCGGGCAATGTCAGGAATTACGGCATCTCAGGAACCACGTCTGACTGATGAAAGGAAAACTGGGCCACAGCAATTCTCTGCCGAATAGTTCAATTACCAGTCCCACCAAATCTATATTCGCCCAGGGGCTGGTTTCCTTCTTAGCTACCTTTCAAACCCCCGAATCATTGAGGCCAAGCCTCTCTATGCACAAGGGCCCGGTCGCCTTCAATTGTGGCCTTCACATGGGTATGGGTCAAAATGAAACCACCAGAGGACCGTTGGTTTTAGTCTTTCTTTCCATTTCCCAGGGTTCCGTTTTGGGGTTGCCCTATGTTTGACCCACCTCCACATCTCTCGCGCTGCCAACCTGTCCTTGTCCACCAAAATCTGCAAACCTCCATTGGACTCCTCATCCCCGCGGTCGCCTAGACTATCCGAACATCGAGTGCTTCCACCAACCTTTTGCCGACCAGCGGAACCTTTGAGAACTAAATCTTGGAGAAAAAATCACGGCCTGGCGTAATGTCAAATGGACTCACCGTGCCCTCTGAAGAAAACAAACACTTGAATTGGCAATCACCCCTGAATATTTGAACTAATCTTAACGAAAGCAGTTTGGGAAGCATCACCTGATTTTGCCAACACCTTAGCTTCACCAATTCTTAGGCGGATCTTGTCCTCTTCAAATCTGGAAAGCTTTTTCACTAGTCAAATAATATTCCGGATGTCCATGTCATGCGAGATTGCAGACGCAGCGCGCCTGGATCAACATCTGTTGACTCCAGTCCTTTAGGTGAAGCATCCATCACATGAAGCCGACTGCACATCCATGTTCTGCTGCGAGCAAGAGCAGGTTCTCGTCGCAAATCGATCCCCATCCCCAGCTATGTACCAGTGAAAAGGTATCGAACACCCTGAGAGCCGCCATGCCGAGAATCTTATAATCCCCTGCTGAGGACCTTTCAAACCGACATGTGAGGTTGCCAAAACCGACATGGGACGCCTTGCGGGAAAGTGGTGCGTCCTTTTGTGCCCCCCCCACCTGAAAGGAGGTCCCAACAAAAGGTGACTGTTTGTCAACCCCAACCCCGTCCATGTCGCAGATCTAGGGTGAAACATCATAATTTACCAACCCAAAATGAGAGTCCAAAACAAAAGCAACTTCACGGGTTTGCGCTCGTAAACCAAAGCCCTTTGTGGGTTGATCGCGTTCATTTCCGCATACGAACTCATCACAAGCCTATGGGTGAAATTTGTATCCTGTCTTGGGTTGTTTTGAAGGGGCATCACGGGGAACAAAGCTAACTTTGTGCGGTTCCCCCCGCATTCTAAACGAGGGAAGACCAAAATAGCAAGATGCCCAAGCGCGTGCGGCCTTTGCTGTGTCCCTGGCGCAGCCGTCCCATCCGAATCACAACCACACCCTGGAATAACAGAAAAGCGTTTCCCCAAAACCCCGTAAAAACCGTGCAACCAAAAAACATTCTGAACATGACTTGTTTGGACATGCCCCCATATTTCCGACATGTTCCCATATTCCCCCTATTGCTTCTATTTCCCAAACCCAGTTTGCCGCTTTTCCCCGTCCCATGGCATCCAAGCCCGAGCGGCTGGTGGTGATCAGCGCGAAGAGCGTGCGGTCCCAGTGGGGCTGGATCCTCGCCTTGCGCTCCCCAGGGTCTTTCAGCTGGGGCGGGTAGTGCGCAATGGTCACCTGCGAGTGAGGTCTGGATGGGGTGGCTTGGGCCTGGAGTGAACGGGAGATGGGAAAGCCGGAACCGGGGCTCCGTAAATAAGCCACGGCCAAATATACTAATCCTGTTTAACTGTTTGAAGGGCTCCCTATGCCAAGGCCATATGTCATGGGAAAATATGTGTGCCCCTTGCTGGTGTACTGTAAATCAAGTGAGCCCGCAGGCTCCTTCTATATTACGAACTGGACATGTTTACCGAACCTGCATTCTGCACATGTTTGGAGATATCTCACTTGCCTGAGAAGAGGGTCACACGTTCGGTTTTAGCGAACTGGTCAGATGGGATGCAGTTGAAAGCCCTGGAAACGGCGCGAACCGTGGCGGACACGCTAACGTTTCGGCATGTGTGTTTTCGGTTGAGCAATCGCGCACCATGTTGGTGCTTTGTTCGTGATTTTGAAGGGAAGCCAACAGTTGAGCCCAACCACTTTTGAGACACCAAAATGGAATCTAACCATCATAAGAGACACAAAACAATGTGACCAACCCCATGAGGCAACTTCCTGTGACAACCCATGAGGCAACTTCCTGAATGTACGAGAAATGGGGGCAAACCCCATGGCCTTTGATTCCTTGAGGCAAAACCCATGGCACCACTGTGTGTTGGTATTTTACAGGGGGAGTCGAAGCGAAACCTATGGCTAGGTTTCTCCAGAGAGGTTAGAATAAGTTGGTACCAACTTGTTTTCTGTAGGCTATTTTAGTAGGGGAAACCCTCCCCCAAAAAAAGAAACGGTAAAAGGGCACCTAGCTGGGGGGACCTAGACAGTTTCTGAGCTGTGCGAAACGGAGTTCGCCCCAGCCACATGCTGGGGCGAAACGGCTGAAAAAAGAATGTGGCAAGTTTCTCAGGCCGCGGCGGGCCAAATGGGCGCCCTCTTGGCGCGGGAGATGAAGAAGTCTTCTTGCTCGCCCATCGCGAGGGCAAAAAGCCTCGAGCTACATGAAAGGGTGGGTGAGTGTGTGTGTGTGTCTGTTGAGTATTTCTGGGATCATTTTAAGGAGCATCAAAGTAAAAACAAAACAAAAAAGCAAACAAACAACGCACACACACACATGCACAATAGGGGGGTTCCCTGAGTTCCCGAACTTGCAGGCAACCCCAGTCAGGATTTTCGGTAATTAAGACCTGCTCAAATAACAAAACAAAGACCCTGGAGGCCGTCAACAAAACGACGAAGGCATCTTCGCAACCGTCCATGCTCTTTATCATGCCCGTTTTACCGATCTTGGGTCAATACCAGGTTACACATCCCATGTTCTTGACCATACCCGCTCCAGCCGTTTTTCAGTAGTCGGGGGCCTCGCCCCGCAAATAAATTGCTTCATACATACACCCCCCCCTACATTTTTTTCATCTTCCATCTTCTACCCTTATTTGTTTTCATCATTTTTCTACATTCCTTTCTGTCCATCTCATCCGTTTTTTTCTCATCATTTTTCCAAAATTTTCGCCATCCTTTTCTCCTTCCTCCTCGCCTCATTCATTTCACCAACTACCCTCCAAAATGTCATTTCCTCAATCTCCTCGCCTCATCCATTTCAAAAAAATAAATTTTGCAAAATATATTGCAAAAAATATTTGTCATCAAAAAAATATTCGAACTGTCTAAAAACGATTTGTCCATTTCCCGGACAAAAAATAGAACAGCAACAACATCACTCCCTCCTTCGTTTCATCAGTTTCATCATATATTTGTTTGGGCGTGGTCGCATAGCTTGCGAGCTTCGCTAACGCTCGCGTGTCCCTTGTAGGATTTTATCTTCAATATATCAAACGCTATACTTACATTATAATTATAACATATAAGGGTATAAATGTTATTATTATAGTATGGTGATAATTTAAGTTTGGGATAATAATTTAATTGATGATGAGTTGAGGCGTAGGCGTGATGGGACCAATCCCACAAACTTGGGACCGGAATCCCCGAAAGTTGGGACTCCAATCCCCTAAACTTGGGACCCGAATCCCCGAAAGTTGGGACTCCAATCCCCTAAACTTGGGACTCGAATCCCCAATCCCACGCATTTGGGACTCGAATCCCCTATTTTTGGGACTGGTGTCTTGTTTCTTTAATCCGTCAAACTCACTAAGATTTCACAAATTAATTCGCTAGGTATTTTATATAAATCTTCCTGATTATGTATTGTTGGATTGTCTCCCCATTTTTCCTTGGTGCCCGATGGTAGCCGTTGTGCTGTTTCAACATGTTTATTATTCCTGATGTTGCCACAATCCTTTTTACATAAATCTCTAGGTTTCCAAGTTGTAATGTTATTCCATAGCCTAGTCCTCTTTCTATAATTAAATCCATATTTACAATAATCGACATCTTTAAAATCAAACTCATCCATAAACCACTGATGTTTTAATAATCCAGTTTGTGGATTTTCGATTACAAAATATTTAGGATTGAAATATTTGATAATCTCAATAGTTTTTAAGACAATACTATTTGCATATTCGATATTCTTAATTCCCCTAGTTTTTGCTATGCTGTATTCAGTGCATGGGGGACTACTCCAAATAAAATCAAAATGGTTTCTGTCAAACTGTTTGTAATCCCACTCCAAAATATCAGTGTTGATATCAGCATTTTTCAAGTCTAATGATATTACATTAAATCAAAGCGACTTTGCTATGGTTCCGACGCTTTTTGTTCCGCTAAATAATTCTAATAAATTCATTTATTAGAATTATTTAGATATTAATTATTCAAATAATACATATACTTCATCATCATTTTTTGTAATTTTATAAAACTCTAATGTTTGTTGCTGTGGTTGTTTGATTTTTCCTGTATTCAACATATCACAGTATTTCTTTTGCTTTGTCGGGTAGTCGCCCGATGGTCTTACTATAGATTTTGCTTGAAATATCTTTTCGATTTTTTCTTTATCTTCATTGCGTTCAACTGGTTTCATTTTGTCATCAATGGATTTAATCATATCATTTAAGGTTTTGATATTTTTACCAATTAATGTTATCTTCTTCATTAAATCATTAATAGTATAATTCTCATTTTCAGACATTACTACATATTTATTTAGATAATTATTTATTTAATTATACAATTTATAAAGTGCAATTATGTTAAATCTACTCTTTAAATACTAATGTTTCATCATTTGTTTAACAGTTTCCTGTGTTTCGTTTTCATTATTATCGGATGGTGTTGCTTGCCTACCAAATTTAAAAGTTATACTATGGACATCAGTTTCTAAGTTGATACTGTCTTTAGTTTTATCAATATTCATTTTCTTATCATTGTTACTTATTTTGAAACTTGTTGGAATACATGAACATTTACATGTTTTATTATTTTTTTATTTCTAATTCATTTTTAAGTTCTAACATCTTTTTGCACATAGGACAAGCAATCTCAAATACTGATGTTTCTTTAACAATTTCTCCGCTATCTTCTGTTGAAGAAACACTTAAACCTATCTTATTCTTTTTGTTTTTCTTTTTTGGCATTTATATTAATATTTATATTTTTAATATATTGTATCAAAAACTTAATTAATTCTAAAATAAAATAACATATTTTTTACATCTATTATCAGTTATTAGTACTTGTTCTATATTCTCCATTTCATCTATTATATCAATATAGTCTGAATAACTCCTTTTCATATTAAATAATAAGATAAATTATTTTTCATTTCTGTCTTTCTTTTCTTGTAAAGTTTTTTCATTGTATCGTCTTTATTCCATCTATATTCTACAAATTTCTGATGATGTTTTGAATTTAGATGTTTAAATAAATATTTGTCATCATAAATTTTACAACAATTGCAATGGATAACAGTCATATAATAATAAGATAAAATAATTATTTAAATTATTTAATCTTATTATTTTCATGCATAATAGAATATTCGGAGGGCACAGCACTTGGGGTTTTCTTTACAACGCATCAAACTAATTAGCTTCAATGCTCATTGATTTGGAAACGTGGAAAACCTGTTTTTTATATGTTATTCTATCACTCATAAATATATGATGTTCCAATTCAATATTAATTACAAATTCTTTTAAATATAATTTTTCTCTGTTTCTTTAATATCAACATATGACGGATGTTTCAATGATAAACCAATAAACGCCTTGAATATGGATTCAAACAATCTAAACAGTAGACGCGTGCAAAATTACCATTGCTATAGTTTGCTTCTTCAAACTCGGGTTCAAAGAGATGTAGATGTAGCATGATGTAGGATATTTATAGAAATTCAAACTTAAGAATGTTTTATGTTTTCCCACATCCATACACTTAACTTTTAAAATTCAAATATCAAGGGATAGTTACACGTGGATTGATGGCGCATTCAATATATTTGATCGGTATAATCAAACAATTTAGTATGTTGAAAGACAAGAAAAAATAGAAGTATGAAATCTAAAAAGATAAAGAAACTACATTCAATATTAATCGTTATAGATGACCACGCAGACGACCCTAAATTTGTTAGATATAGTAAATTATTACATGGATTATTTACAAGAGGCAGGCACGATGCAGTAAGTGTGATTTGTTCAACACAAAAATACAATGTTTTAGCGCCAATCATTAGATTAAATGCCAGTTCATTATATATATTTAGGTTGAAAAATGCCAGTGAATTAATGAGTTTTATTGAAGAAAATAGCGCCATTGTTGATAAACAGCAATTATTGGATATGTATCATCAAGCAGTGAATTTTGCTCCATATTCCTTTTTCTACGTGAATATGAATGCTAAAGATATTAATAAGATGTTCCATATCAATTTTGAACAGGCATTTCATATTACAAATGATGAATAAAGATATTCTAATTTAATATGATATATTAATATGGTTATAAAACAATGTAAATGCGGTGGATTTTATCGTAGAGGTAATTACAATTTTCATACTAATTCTTGGATACATAAACTTTATAAGGTATTGAAAAGAAGGGCAACAGACGAG